GGCTAAATAAAGAGACATCACTAGCTCGTGTGGGGGCGGGGTGTAGCTAAAACCTTGGTGCGAGCAGGTGCCCTGTTCCCCCAGAAGTCTTGACCACAGGATAGACAGAGGGGCCTCCAGCAAGAGCCCTTGGAAGACAGGCCCTTTGGAGAAAAGAGATTAAGGCTTAAGGATCGTGAAACCCCTACGTTTGGGAAACAAGTCAAAGTTAGGAGGCCCCGAAAAGGGCGAAGAAGGTAGGTGGATAAAACAGAAGGACGTGTGGGGAGAGTCTGCCAGGACACAGGAAGCACTCTAGACGCCCCATTGCAAACAGCTGCGGGGGATGGGGTGGGCAGGGAGAATGGGGGTGCCTGAGACTCCTCTTCGCAGATGGAGGTGGGGCTATTCCGTCGCCTAGGCCTCCGCCTCTTCCTTCACCGCTCCCGCCTCCACCCGCTCTGTCCCGGAAGTGGTCCTTCGCTGGCTCCGGGTGCCCGGAGCGGAATCTCAGCGCTCTCGGAAGGGCCGCGGCAACAGTGGGCCGGACCCGGGCAGCGCTCGCTCCTGTTCGGGGCGTTGCGGCCCGGGGCGTCGCAATGACCAGCGAGCTGGACATCTTCGTGGGAAACACGACCCTTATCGACGAGGACGTATATCGCCTCTGGCTGGATGGTTACTCGGGTCTGTGAGGGGGGCCATCTTGGGGAGCTCATGGGGAGGACCCGTTGTTTTGGATGGGAGAGGGGACGGGGCCAGGACCTGGGCATCCTTTGGGGAAGTGGACAGACAGCTGGGAATAAGGAATGTGTAGGGCTCCAGGCTCAAATCCTTGGAGAGCCTCTGGGTCGGTGGGGCGACGCCTGATACTAGCGCCCACTCCCCAGTGAGCGACGCAGTGGCCCTACGGGTGCGCTCCGGAATCCTGGAACAGACGGGCGCCACAGCGGCGGTGCTGCAGAGCGACACCATGGACCACTACCGCACCTTCCACATGCTCGAGCGCCTCCTGCACGCGCCGCCCAAGCTATTGCACCAGCTCATCTTCCAGATCCCGCCTTCCCGGCAAGCGCTGCTCATCGAGAGGTGCTCACCCAGTGGGATGGTGGAGATACCAACCTGTCTGACTGTATACCCATTTTGCAGGCGGACACTGAGGCCCAGGGAGGGATAGGACTTACCTAGGCACTCAGAAAGTTGAAAACAGAAGGGGACAGATCCAGGCCCTGCCAGGCCCCTTTTCTCCACCTTTATGAAGGGTCAGTGATGTCCTCTGCCTCCACAAGGTACTACGACTTTGATGAGGCCTTTGTTCGTGAGGTGCTAGGCAAGAAGCTGTCCAAGGGCACCAAGAAAGACCTGGATGACATCAGTACTAAAACAGGCATCACCCTCAAGAGCTGCCGGAGACAGGTGGGCACTGCACCTACACACACAGCATATCATCTACAGTCCATCCCTTCATTTCATTCCTTTGGCCACTGCCCCAGCTTCAGCCTTTGATTGTAGTAGCGGCTTTATACCTTCTCTCTTCTCCCTGCTTTGTGCTCCTTCTAAGGCAGCTCATGCTCTGTGGCCAGAGTGACCTGTCAGACACCCAGATTTGACTATGGCTTTCCCCTCCACTCTGCAGCCTTGACCTTCAGACTGTCCCTGCAGACTGATTTAGGCTTACATTTCTCCAGACTAGGGTTTTCTTTTGCTCATGTTGTTCCTACCTAGAGGGTACTGTTCTTGGCCATATCCACCCCTTGAAATTCAAGGCAGGAGGTGAGATGCCACCTTCCCTACAAGCCTTTTTTGTGGTGCCAAAGAGAAGTATCCCTTCCACTTTTGATGCCTTTCTTCTGTGTCTCTTGTGAACTCCCCATGGATGGCTTAGCATTCACTGATCTTTGAGTTCCTGGAGCTTGGGAGTCAGTTCCAGGTGAAGCTCCTGAAGCTCTGGAGAGCATGATGCTAAAACAGGCTTGAATTTAGAGACAGGAGTGAGTAAACTAAACATCAGTCCAAGGCAAGATGGCAAAAGCTGATAAACATTCGTTGAATTGATAACAGGTACTAATAACAAATAGTTGGTTGAAGGAAAAACAAGTGCTAAATAAACATCTGCTGATTGGATAGGTGGATAAGGGAGAGAGGGATGTTTGATAATTTATTTTGTGAGTACCTTCTAACCACTTATCCCTCCCTCACTAACTGCCCTGCAGTTTGACAACTTCAAGCGCGTCTTCAAGGTGGTGGAGGAAATGCGGGGTTCCCTGGTGGATAACATTCAGCAACACTTCCTGCTCTCTGACCGGCTGGCCAGGTGAATGGCCAGCCATCTCTCCCTCTTGTACATTCCTTCCCTAGGCCCTAAGGTTGGTCCACCTTCTCCAATGCAATCCTTTTGTCCTAGCTATGCTTGGGGTATGGTTATCTCATTTCTAGTCTGTATTTTGAATTTTTGAATCAGAATTCAAAATACCAGTCTGGCCATTTCCATTAGGCTATTGTGAGGTGCCCAATGTAAGTTTGTGGCATGATTCCTGGCACTTAGGAGGTACTCAGTGGGGGATGCCCATAGCTCAGTGGTTAGGATGCTGGCCACATGCACTGGGGCTGGTGGGTTCAGACCTGGCCCAGGCCTGCTAAACAAAAAAGAAAAATAGCCAGACGTTATGGCGGGCACCTGTGGTCCCAGCTACTAGGGAGGGTGAGGCAAGAAAATTGCTTAAGCCCAAGAGTTGGAGGTTCCTGTGAGCATGGTGCCATGGCACTTTACCGAGGGGGTCAAAGTAAGACTGACTCAATTAAAAAAAAAAAAAAAGGAGGTACTACATGAATGGTAGCTGTTGTCCTTATATCCTTAGGAAACTTAGTGTCTAAAACCTTAGCTAGGGAGTCCTGTGGTGAAGTGACTTGAGACATGTCATACAGTGATGTAGGACAAAGAGAAACCAGGACTTAGATGCCCAGCTGAGGATATAGGTAGGAGCTGTTTTCCAAGAAGGAATTTCAAGCACTGAGAAGATCCCCCCTCTCTCTGCAGGGACTATGCAGCCATCGTTTTCTTTGCCAACAACCGCTTTGAGACAGGGAAGAAAAAACTTCAGTATCTGAGCTTTGGCGACTTTGCCTTCTGTGCTGAGCTCATGATCCAGAACTGGACTCTAGGAGCCGTCGGTGAGGCCCCCACTGACCCAGGTGCCCAGACACCTCTTCGTTCTCTCAAAGCCTGGTTCCCACTAGCAGTTTCTCCTGTAGGCCCCCAGTTCCCAGCATCATTTTCTGGTCAGGGTCCCCACCCAGGTCACCTGCTCATAATTGATTTTACCAAATACTCCTGTCTGCAGACAAAGGGCTCATTGTCTCTCTATGACCTGGGGCATGTCACTCCACCTCTCTGAAACTCAGTTTCCTCTTCTGTCCTGTGGGTGCAATAAAGTAGTGGATAAGGACAACTCGGGGTGTCATAGGAGGGATTTCTGTCACCTACCCCATCTCTCTTCATGGGCCTCACAGACTCCCAGATGGATGACATGGACATGGACTTAGACAAGGAGTTTCTCCAGGACTTGAAAGAGCTCAAGGTGCTAGTGGCTGACAAGGATCTTCTGGACCTACACAAGAGGTGCCCTTGAGAAGTGGTATATGGGGCAGGGCTTGAAATAGGGGCCCAGCTGGCTCTAAGAATGACCCTGTCTCCCTGCAGCCTAGTGTGCACTGCTCTCCGGGGAAAGCTCGGTGTCTTCTCTGAGATGGAAGCCAACTTCAAGGTCTGTGGCCCCATCCAACCTCTGTCCCTTGGGCACCTTCAGCCTGCAGTGCACTACCCTTGTCGCACTACTCTGTGCCTGCCTGAGATTGACAGGCAGGTGGCACTGCCGCACTCTCTGTCGGCCTGTGAGGGGGAACCAGCTCATAAACAACAGGGACTTGGTTGATTAAGGGAGGTGGATAGATTTGGGGAGGAGCCTGTCCCTCCCCGAGCTTCTGTGCTCAGCCCCCAGCTTCTGGGGCAGAAGGCAGAACTCCCAGGACCCTGCCTCACAGAACCTTTCCCGGGGACTGGTGAATGTGGCTGCTAAGCTGACCCACAATAAGGATGTCAGAGACCTGTTTGTGGACCTCGTGGAGAAGGTGAGTAGTGCTGTCCTCTGCCCTGTGATCCCCAACCGCACTGTCCCCAGCCTGTACCAGTGCTAAATGTTCCCTTGGGCCTACAGTTCGTGGAACCCTGCCGCTCTGATCACTGGCCACTGAATGATGTGCGGCTCTTTCTGAATCAGTATTCAGCATCTGTCCACTCCTTGGATGGCTTCCGGTGAGAGACCCCATTCCCCTTACCAGGGTAGCCTAGACTGAGCCAACCACTTGCTAGGGTCTAGCCCCCCCGCAGGTTCAGGGTTTCCCATTCTGTTACTCTGGGGTTGGATGTAAGTCTGGCTTAGAAGCTATGTAACCTTGGGCAGGTCACTTAACCTCTGTATGCTTCAGTTTCCTCATATGTGAACTGAGGATAATAACTATTAGAATTGTAAGAATTTTATGAGGTCTTAATGAATTAAGGAGTAGAATTAATGAATTTATGAGGTCTTAATGAATTAAGGAGGATAATAACTATTAGAATTGTAAGAATTTTATGAGGTCTTAATAAATTAAGAATCACTCAAAGCAGTGTCTCAGACATGGTGAGTATGGTGTAAACATCAGCTATCACTGTTACCATTACAGGCACCAGGCCCTCTGGGACCGCTACATGGGTACCCTCCGTGGCTGCCTCCTGCGCCTCTATCATGACTGAGGCCCCTCTCTCACCACCCTTCCTGTACTGACAATAAAGTTGTCATGAGTTTGGGAACTGATCCTATCTCCAGAGGGAGGAGCCTGTGAAGGTGTTACAGACGTCTGTGTCTCTAAGTACCCTTGGATGTATGTGTATGTCAGCCCTGCAAGGACTGGGAAAGATCAGGGAATGGTGTCTGTGTTCAACTCATCCACTATCTCTCCTCAGCTGAGTTCACTCAGAAGCCAGGGATCTTGCCTTCGTTTATTCAAGCCATATTGAGAAGATTGGTGGGATGAGCAGAAATCTTGTGGTGAGGCTGGTGAAGAGGCAGCAGGAGAGAGCTGAGGGGAGGCTGGATGGGTTTAGGGAGGACAGGAGACTGGGAGCTTTCTAACTGGTTGGTCCACACGAGCAGTGAATGGGTACTTGGTGATGCCACAAGAGTTGCTCCCTCGGTGCAGGCGGAAATAGCCCTAGAAAGTTAGGGGATGTCAGGGCCAGAGGTGGGAAGAGGCTTGTTCTGCCCTATCCCCTTCCGCAATAGATCCACTCACCTCCTCTCCCCAGTGGGCCCCCCAGGAGTTCTTTAGGATCCAGTACGGGGTGGAGCGATGAGGGCGCAGGTGAGACTGGGATGAGACTGTCTCTGCCCCAAAACCCACCAGCAGGACAGAATGATTCACAAGCTGGGGGTCACAGGTAGTAGGCTTCGCCTTGATCACACCTTTCTTGTAATGCTGCATAGGAGAGGGACAGAGGAGCTGAGTCTGGATTCAACCCCACTATGTACCACCTCCCCCATTCCCTACCTTATCTCACCTGCAGTAGCTTCATGTTGATGGTCACAGTAATGGGGCCATGGGTGGCCAGGTACTGGGCAATTTCTGGGGTGGAAGGTACTATCAGGTCTTGCCTGCCCTGTGGCCACTGGTCTTGGCACATGCCTCCCCCCCCCAATCTTCTTCCTTCCCTCAAACCCACCACCACCACCACCACCAATCTCTGTCTGTAACCCCAAGTGTCTGCCTCTGCCCTGGTGTCTGTCCCTGCCACCCCTCCTTCCCTATCACCACTGCCCTGCCCGCACTGTGCTCATTGTCTTCCAGCATGATGAAATCCTGGATCCAGGCCACCTTCCTGTACTTGTTGGCCAGGCACCTGTGGGTTTTGACACTGGCCTTGAACGGGTAGTCCTTTTCACTGGCCAGACCGCCTGGAGAAGAGCAGATCAAGGGTGGAGGCTATGCTGCTGAACACCCCCATACCCCACACATGCTGCCCACAGTGGTGGGTACTCACTGTTGTTGAGGACAGTTATGAATGCATCCCAAACGAAGCCACCCTGGCAGCCATCCCCACAGCGGTTACAATCAAGCAGTTCTGAGGCAAAAGGGGACAGTGTGGGAGAACAGGCCCTAATTCTCCCCCCTGTCAAACATGTGCCCCCCTGTCAAATATGTCCCAGCCATACCCTGCACAGAGACTTCCACAGACTGATGATATTTGATGCCCCACAGGGCCTCGATGTTGTCAGCTGCTGCCATGGCCCAGCAGCACTTGCAGTTTTCCTAGCAAGCAAGAGGGTGGATGGAAGCAAGAAGGTGTGCATGCCATGCCCCTCTCCTCCCACCTTGGTGGGACTGGGCCCTGCTGACTGGGGGCAGGTACCTGGTTCTTGATGCGTGAGATGATGCCAGCCTTGTTCCGCCAGTCACAGGTGCGGGGCAATGTCTCCCCCTGCTGTTCAGATCCTACCTTTCTGCCCATTCTGGGCACCTCTCCAACTGCCTTCTGATGCCCAAAGATCTTGCCAAACTCCTCCTCTGGGTGACAGACAGGGCTACTGTGGTCACTCTTTTGGCCCTTCCTCCCTAGTTTGCCTCTCCCACTGTAGTCATTCACATCTTTGGCTATTTAGGTCCCTGTAATACCCTGGGAGGCAGAAAGACAAGGATACTGCTGCCCTTCGCCCGAGTGCTGGACTGGGTCACAGGCCGTTTATGTTTCTGCATCTGTGTTTGAGGCAAGACCCAGCCCTCTGGTTCTTACAGTCCCTCCCTAGGCAATAAAAGTAGAAAGTCTGCATAGTCCATCTGCCAACATCCCTCAAGAAGATTGCTTCTTCACCCACAACCTATAGGCCAGGAGGGTCTCTGTACCTACCTGTGAGGTCACTGAGTGAAGTCATCCCAAATTCAGCTGTGCCCAAGTCCTCTTCCTGCAGCTGCTGAGCCTTGGCTAAGTTGTGGGCAAAGATGTCTAGTCGGCGAGAGTGCTCTGAACCCAGAGAAAGTTATGTTAGGCCTGCAGGGGCCAGGAAGTGGCCACTGTTGTGCATCCTCCCTCCCACTCACCTAGGTGGTCACCAGCTCCTTTCCTGTAGCCCCAATGCAGACACCTAGGCTGAGGAAGTGGTTACCCAGCCTACCTAGAATTAGGTTTTCCAAAGGGGGGCCTACCTACCTTGTAGAAAAGCCAAGCAAGGAGTCTGGAGGCAGAGTGACTCAGAAGGAAAAGCTGGGGGATAACACCAGCTTCCTGCCAGGCCACCACCACCTTGTCACACCTCTGACCACAAGTGGAGACATTGCAGCATAGGTCATGCACAGGCAGCTTGGGTTAAAAAGATACCCATAGACTAAGCTCTTACAGGAGAGAAGACTCAGGGTAGGAGCAGGACTAGCAGTTCAGAGGAGTAGAGAGGGTGTCCGCAACTTGGGGATAAAGTGGGTATCTTGGATATTTGTTGAATGAACAAATGACTAGATGGTGGTCCCCCAACCACTGTCTGGAATCACAGGGCAGCGGCTATGAGGCCAGGGGATCCTCTAGGACTAGGGCAGGCCTCCAACAGCTGCTGTTTGCCTTCTAAGTTCCTAGTAAAAAATGATCCTGTCCCCACATGTGCCTCTGGGAAATCTAAGGGTACACTGCCAGTCCTACCACTGTGCTGCTGAGCGGCGTTGGCGAAGCTTTTTTCCCACGCTGAGCCTTGATTTCTTAATCTATTAAAAGTAGGGAAGGGGGTCAGACTGGAGATGTATACACCACACAATACCTGCTGGGTTTGAGTAACTCCGGTTGAACTGGACCTGGAACAACTTGAAGACCTCTTTCAGTTCCAGTGGCCTGGGATCTAGGTCCTTGCAAGGAACCAAGAGTGGAAAGGGGCAGTGGATGGAGGAATCATTGCTGGAACCTGGGCTTAGCTCCTGGCCATGCTAAGACTGGACTAGGGAGTCAGCTTCTCTCCCCATGTGGCCTTGGGCCCATCAACCACTTCTCTGGCCTCAGTGGCTCCTTTTGAGAAATGGGAACAACTAGGGCTGACCTCAGACATGGGACTGGCAGAGGTAAGGATATAGGGGGTAAGTTGAGAGCACTTACCTGGGGCCCAAGGGAATCTCTGATGCCATGGGCTAGTCCTATCACCATCAGGGCCAGGAGGCAGGAAAGGGGAGCAGTTAGTGTCATGGTGGCTCAACCCTAGTGCTGAAGGCAGGAAGTTGTGTAGATGAAGCTAAAGGGGGACAGGGCGGAGCTGGAGAAACCACAAAGGGGAAGCCAGGCTTGGGGGGTACCACTAGAGCACTTGAGCTGCCTTAGTACTTCAGGCTTTTGTTCCCCACCACCACCTGTCAGCCTACCTGCCTATACACTACCCCATCTCTTTATTCAACACAGGCTCAAGACCACCCTGTTCTGTATACAGAAATGAATCTGTCCTTAAGGAGGCAGGAGGAGATAGATCCTGAGTGGATAGACAATTTAGAGGTATCAGTGCTATTACATGGCGTTACAGGGAAGCTCAGGAGTCTTTGGGAGCCACAGGTTCCTGACAACTGGAGGGTGGTCAGTGCTCTCTGGGGAAGCACACTTGCTCATCCTATGAAGCTCAGCTCAAGGGCTACCTCCCTCAAGAAATTTTCCCTGCTTCCCCAGCCTCTGGTGTAACCTCACAGCCCCTTAGACCCTCACCTCTGCCCACTTGGCATCTGCCTCCCTCCCTGCCATGCCAGAGGAGTCTGCATCCTCAGCCTAAGACAGTGTCAGGCATAGAGTAGGCTCAATGGGTGTGTGTTTATTTAAAATTGATTGCTGTGAGTTTTATTTTTTTCATTTTGGGGGGCACAGAGTCTCACTTTGTTGCCCTTGGTAGAGTGTTGTGGTGTCATAGCTCACAGCAACCTCAAACTCGAGCTTAAGCGATTCTCTTGCCTCAGCATCCCAAGTAGCTGGGACCACAGGCATCTGCCACAACACCCAGCTATTTTTTTAAGAGGCAGGGTCTCGCTCTGGCTCAGGCTGGTCTCAAACCTGTGAGCTCAGGCAATCCACCCGCCTTGGTCTCCCAGAGTGCTGGGATTACAGGCATGAGCCACTGCACCCAGCCATCCTATGGATTTTAAACAGGAAACTACAGGGCCCTGGGGACAGCAAATAGTAGTTACTGGCTCCTGTTCCTCATTTCTGCCAGTCGGGCTAAGGAGGCAGAAAACTTAACAATGTGTGCACTGCATATGGAGCAAGGCCAAAGCCTACAAGGTCAAGGGCTGGGTGGCCGTGCTAACATCTTGTTATTGCTGTCTCAGTCCTAAGTGGGTCCTTGAGCTGGGGACCTCCTGGATAGGGCCCCAGGCTGAGAACCTGCGCCCTAAGACAAGAGAGGGGTGTGAAAAGCTGGCTTTCTAGGGCTGCCCTGGGAAGGGGAGAGGAAGGTGCCGATGCTGGAGTTCATTCATTTATCTGCTCACTGCCTTGTCTCCTCATTAAGACTCTTCCCAGGAATGAGGCTCCATTTTGTTCCCCTCCCCCAGACAGGAACTCCTGTGTGAAAAGAGTGGTGCTGCCTTTATTAAAATGTGGCAGACTACCCCTAGAGCAGTGCATGGTCCTGTTTTTATGGAGCCCAGTTACTGGCCTGAAGCTGGTTTCTGACCTATGATACAGCCTCAATCAAATCAGCTCTCATAGCGGGAAGTCCCAATGTGGGCATCAAAAGGGGGTGGCATATAACCTATCTCATGTTGGTATAGACTGTAGGAGGTCAAGGTGGGGAGGGACCGAGGGTGTTGGGCTGGCTGGCTGTCCTCTTTGGTCCTCTCCTTCCCTACCTTGAATGGAGCTCCATGAGGCCAGGGGGTTTGCTCTGTGTTTATCAGTGGCATGTCTCTGGTGCCCAGCACAGCATCTGGTCCATAGAGGCCACTTAATAAGTTTTTAAGGAATTAATAAAGGAAGTTCCCCCACTTGATCATCCATTTATTTATCCACTTATTCATCCTGCAGATCCTGGCTGTTGCCCAACAAGGGCTGAGCTGTGTGAGCCTGGGGGTCTCAATGCCTGGGTAGAAGTCACTACTTGATAGGAGAGGGATACTAACCAAGATATGCTTTAAGAAGGACCCAGGGCAGAATGTGTAAGCACAGAGAAAGTCAGTGGGGTTACAGAGGTTGGGAGAGGCCTTCTGAGGAGGCAACTCCTGGCCCACTTGAGCCTAATAGTGCAAGGATGGACATTCAGGTCCAAGTTGAGTCATCGATGGTACATTATCATTCCCTTCTGAGCCTTAGTCCTCATCTCTAATTGGCCATGATAATTCTTGGGGTGGGTCTTAAGTGGAATGACAGTGGAGCACACACCATCTGGCTGGCACAGAGTGATGTTCAGATGGTTCATCTTTAACACTCTTACATGGGGCAAGAGCTCAGAGCCTTGGAGTCAGCAGGACTTGAGTTCAAATCCTGCCCTCACTACTCAGGCTGCACGTAGGACAAACCTCCTATCCTCCTTCATTTGTGAAATGAGGAGAAAACAGCACCCTTTCCCTCCTTTAGCAAGAGGAATGCACAAAGCCCATGCCAGTACCTAGAACAGTTAGATTTTTTTTTATATTTTACTTTATTTATTTATTTTATTTTTATTTTTAAGACAGAGTTTCACTTTGTTGCCCTTGTTAAGAGTGCCATGGCATCACAGCTCACAGCAACCTCAAACTCCTGGGCTCAAGAGATCCTCTTGCCTCAGCCTCTCAAGTAACTGGGACTACAGGTGCCCGCAACAACACCCAGCTATTTCTAGAGACTAGGGTCTCGCTCTTGCTCAGGCTGGTCTTGAACCGATGAGCTTAGGCAATCCACCTGCCTTGAGTGCTAAGATTACAAGCGTGAGCCACCACACATGGCCTAGAACGGTTAGATCTTAATAATCAGGAACTGTTTTAATTATTTAAGGAAACAGCTTTATTGAGATGTTATTCACATGCCATTAAATTCACCCTTTTAAAGTGTACAATTCAGTGATTTTTTTTTTTTGAGACAGAGCCTCAAGCTGTCACCCTGGGTAGAGTGCTGTGGCATTACAGCTCACAGCAACCTCCAACTCCTGGGCT